GGTTTGCTCGACTCACCGATCATAGGATATAACGTAATTGAGGAACTTTGTCGACAAAATGCAACTGATTACTTAATTCCTATCTTGAGTGGTAGTCTGTTTAACGCTAACGCAAATAACATCGAAGCATTAGTGAAGCTTGTACAAGAGGAACGTTTGGATACCGTGTGTACAATTAACWCAGGAAAGAACGACCTTGTCATTCCAAGGGGTAAATCGTTACGKGTATCATGTTATGCTAAAGTAGGCCACACCCTTAAGCGGATTCCAGTTTTATTTGAAGCATATCCATCTTGTAGTTTACCCGAGGGTCTAGATATACCGGACTCCCAGTTAACAGTAATCAAGCCGTCTTCCAATCGAGTCAGTGTTGAGATAGTAAACCTGACTGACCATAACATTACATTAAAGAAGAAAACACCCCTGRGGAAACTACAATTAGTTCGCTYGGTTACACCTCTTGAAKTGAAGCCCGCAGRATTGTCGGAAGAAAGTACAACTCTGAACACTATACAACCCACTATTAACACATTAACTGACACCGGAAGGAATGATTGCACAACTCCAACATATAATTCTAATGCGAGCTTCAYCGATGATATAAACTTTGGTGCTCTTAGCGCTGAACAACAGAAACTCGCSCGAGCAATGCTTATAAATGAAGCGGAATCTTTCTCKCAAAGCGACGATGATATAGGCTGCGCAACAGAATTTCAAATGTCACTTAAACTAACTGATTCTGTTCCAGTTCAGCAAAGTTATGTCGCTGTACCGAAGCCATTATACCCCGAAGTCAAGCAGTATGTTGAGGACATGCTGAACAAAGGCTGGATCAAAAAGTCACGTTCAGCGTACTCGTCACCAGTCGTTTGCGTCAGAAAGCGAGACGGCAGCCTCAGATTGTGCGTGGATTTCCGTAAGCTCAACCAAAAAACCGTTCCAGACCGGCACCCGCTTCCTCGCATCCAGACTGTTCTAGAAAACCTCGGGGGGAATAGCTGGTTTTCGCTTCTTGACCAAGGCAAAGCCTACCATCAAGGGTTTATTCACCCCGATTCTAGACACCTTACAGCGTTCATAACCCCCTGGGGCTTATACGAGTGGGTCAGAGTTCCGTTTGGCCTGACAAATGCACCTGCAGAGTTTCAGCGGTTTATGGAGCACTGCCTTGAAGGTCTTCGCGACGAT